AATTTTGGAAAAACCAATTTATCAAAATGAAAGTCGTTAAATCTAGTTGTAAATAAATTTCCCGTTGATGGTTCTAAATATTTTACTAAAGATGGAGATTCATATCCAACATATATCCTCATTATTCTTTGAGGACCCATTTGTATGCGGTGATGTGGAGAGATGGGTACATAAATTGCACATCCAAACGTCCTTAGATGGGAAATATTTGGTTCCTGACCGCAAATCAGTTGAATAGGGGAGAACTTATGATAACTAGTTGACCAGATGCATATACGTGATGCAACATGTAAAATTGTATGTCCCTATGTCGATGTAGGAAGTTTAGAATGCATTAGTAATGGTCTTGCAATTAATTGATGGTGTTTTATTAACGACTCAGCTAGACCATTTTGCATATGAACATGTGCATCAAGATGTTCAATAGTTATCCCAATTGACATGCAATATTCATTACAAGCTTGTGATGTAAATTCTCCAACATTGTCAAGTGGAATTTTCTTAATTGGCTAACCTGGAAAATGTGCCCCTAGGCGGATTATTTGTGCAAGTAATCTTGCAAAAGAGAGATTACAACTAGACAACAAGCATACATGTGACCATCTAGTTGATGTGTCAATTAAAACCCTAAAATATCTAAATGGTCCACACCATGGATGAATTGGTCCACATATATCCCCTTGAATTCTTTCTAAGAAACATGAAATTAATTTTCCTTAAGAGCATGGAGCACAAGAAAATTCATTATCTTGAAAAATCTTCTGGTTTTTCAAGGAATGACCACTTGAAGTTTCAATTATTTTGTGCATCATAATTGATCCGGGATGGCCCAATCGGTCATGTGAAACTTTGAAGGTGTTATCATACATTTTATTTTCAATAGCATGAGATTCAATCAATCTAATATTTGTATAATACAATCCGAAGGACAATACAGGTAATTTTTCCAAAAGACTTTTCTTACCCGATATCATTTTGTAATATTGAGATAGTCTTTATTACTATCATTAGTTGTTTCAATATGATATCTGTTAGACCGAATATCCTTAAAACTTAATAAATTTCTTGGTGATTTGGAAGAAAATAATGCATCACCGATTGTAATTATTGTCACTTGTGGTAATACTATATTCGCTCTTTCAGAGCCTTCAATCAGTTTTTGCACTACCCGTTATTGTATTAACATTTTCTTATCCAATTGATAAGTAAGCAAAATATTTTTCATTATTAAAAATGTTATGTGTTGTTGCACTGTGTGCAAGACATATATATTCCTCATTTCTTTTTTGAATATCCATATTTCTCTTTCATTAATAAATAAAACATATGAAGCATTCGACTTAGAAAAATAAAGTCATATTTTATTACTTTGAGAAGAATGTGACGACATCATTTCTCATGAAATAAATATGACATAAAAACATAATAAATGACATGAAACAAAACTACATATTTTTCTTCTATCACTATACATAACACCACTTGTCCCTTTTGGGTAGACAAGAAAATCGGCAACATCAAAATGTGTCATTTCTGGTTAATCTTCATGAAAATCATTTTGAATAGAACTTGTTTCTCATGAAATAAATATGACATAAAAACATAATAAATGACATGAAACAAAACTACATATTTTTCTTCTATCACTATACATAACACCACTTGTCCCTTTTGGGTAGACAAGAAAATCGGCAACATCAAAATGTGTCATTTCTGGTTAATCTTCATGAAAATCATTTTGAATAGAACTTGTTTCGATATTTTATTTTTCTTTATATTTTAGATAAGCTTAATAAAGATCAACAAAACGTTTTGGAGTGCGGCATGTACGAGACCAATGACCGGTCATTCCACATCGGTGAAAAATATTTTCAACTTTCTTTTTGTCTTGATCACTTTTTTCATTAGGAAGTGGGTTTTTGTTATTTTCCAACTTCTGGTGGTTACTTGTAATATTGTTATTTTTATGATAATTATGATGACATCCACGACCTTGGTTAGACCCATGACTATTATGATTATATGATGTTGCATTCACTTCAGGGAATGGACTAGAATCGGTCGGGCTTGATTGGTGATTTTTCATCAATAGCTCATTGTTTTGTTTAGCCACAAGAAGACATGAGATTGATGCAAAATATTTAAAAAAAACTTTCTCACGATATTGCTGATGTAGGAGCATGTTAGTGGCATGAAAAGTAGATAAGGTTTTCTTTAGTATGTCTTTATCAGTTATAGTTTCACCATATAATTTTAGGTAAAAAAATTCATAAAATAACGTGTAAGCATTGTATATGTGAACTTATAAAAAAATACATACCTAAAAATGACAAGAGCGATAAGGAGTTAGAGTTCTATGGTAAACTCATGTTGATAACGTGTTATAAAATATGAAGTTAAATTGTAGAAAAAAGTAGAAAATGAGATTGTAAAGAACTTTATTTCATCACCTGTGGTAAAAAAACCAAACTTTATAATACATAATACTCACTATTTATATTAGACAAAGAAGATGAAAGGTGAGGTAAGTTATGAAAGGTGAGGTAAGTTATGAATGCTCATTATAGTGGTGTGTAACTACACTCATAAAATTCATAATAATGTTTGTTATAATGCTCACTAATTATGGAAAGTGATGGGGGAATATGAGGAATCCAATAGTCATTCACTAAATAATAATTCATAACATGATTATAATTACTTATAGTTACTAATATTTTTTTAGAAATTTAATTGTTAATTTAATTGTCGCGAGCAGTTGAGGTCACAAGATCAGCATTTAGCAGAGCATGACGCTAATTTAGTCATGGTTCTAAAACTTATCAATAAAACTCCTGGAGATGACGTTGATACTTCGAAGGGGTGGAGGTACATTTTTAATTATTTCATCGTTTATGGTTGTTATGTTTTTGCATCGTTTACAAGTGTACAATATTGAACCGTACATGCACTCGTCATGCCAGATGTTGGTACCACATACTACGATGACGATGACTTATGGGAGCATTATTATGTGTTAGGCATCCGCTTATTATGTGTTAGGCATCCGCTAACAGCCGCTGAATGACAACCCTGAGCAACCGTCTCCGTGTATTCAATCGTCGGATGTAAAAGAGATTCCGAGGGATGAATACAAAACACCGTCGCTATCACCTCTTAGGCTTTCTAAGCGCCAAGAAATTATGTCCATATGGTATAAGCCGTCTGGATACAAATGAAGATGGAAGATGTTACACGACAACAACTAGCACCGATGGACAATCTTTTAGAGCCTACCGTACATAGTGTATATAAAGAACAGGATGGTTCGCTGTTGTTTGGTCACAGTTGTTTGACCGGTTTTGTTACGATTGAGTTTTGGACACAGTTATATGCAGATAGTCATGGATGATGGTTGTCATGTGATGTAAGTAATATAATTATGTGCTCATTACATACTACACCTCTACTAACAATACTTACTTTACTACAAAAAAAAAATTAATTGGCAGCACATCATAATGTGGATCTCATTACTGCTAGAGCGTAGAACGGATGATGCTCGGTGGACGATTGTGCCGTCAGCTTTCAACACTGATACATTTGACTGGAGTGACATGGCTGATGGATCCGTTTACCCAGCTTGGGCAGAGTGTGATACGGTATAATTTTGTTTGGATTACAATACCTGAGTATTTATATACTAAATTATTATTTCTACCATTTTTTATAGCTTTTACATCCTAATCAATATACCACAAGCTCATTGGTTTTTGGGTGCTTTGGATTTGAAGACATTCAAAATAACTATATATGATACTCATTGGAAGGGCGACTACTGTTCGAAAAATGAGGACTAGTTTATAGGTATGAGAGCCTGCATCCACAAACTGCTAGTGGGAGTCAAGTACTGGGGTACCGAACCAACTGATTCAATCCCACTTGAGAGCTTCAAGATGACCCTAAAAGGACCCCAGACAGATTGACAGAAACGGGGATTGTGGGGTGTTTTTGTATAGGTTCCTGGAGGCGTTGATCACGGGAAATTGATTTCTATAGAGGGTAAAACCGCTCCATGGGCTATGGGTTATCGAAAACGACTAGTGAAAAAATTTCGGGGTACAAGGACAAATATAATTTGAACATCGTATTTGTAATATGACCTACAGACACATCCCTTTATTTAGTTTATGTATTTATTAGTTGTTTGTTGATTTTAATTGCATTTTATATTTTATAAAACCAAAAGTTATATATTTTATAAAAGCAAAACTTATATAATTTTATAAACTCCAAAAGTGCCTACATCATTCTGTTCATTTTTTTTAACGGCAAATATTATAAAATTTGATTGTTCATCATTCATAATTTGGTTGTTTAAACTTTTAATTGTTCATTGTATGGAAAACATATTATATGGGATTAGGTGGTCATTGATTTAATTGGTAGATTAATTGTATCGCTACTCCATCCTTACAAAGACTATACGGAAACTTTATTTGCGATCCATCATATCCGGATTACCAACGCAGCAGATTGTATGTGAAAGTCAAAGGTTTGTTGTAGCGTGTCATATGATTTTTAATAAGTCTTGTTTAATTCTATAAAGTTTTTAATCTATTTATATATATAATCTTAGTCTTCGTAAATAAAATTTATAATAGTAATATCTCCCTATAAATAATGTTAGTCTTGGTAAACAAAATTTATAATAATAATATCATGTTTAAAATATTGGACGTATTTTGAATATTTCAACACCATACTTGTAATAATACAATTTATGACATTATTGTGCAGTATATGAATATTCAACAAATAACATAGATTACACGATGTGATAAATATATAAAGTATGAAAACGGATATAAATAAAAATATACATTTAACCTTATAAGTTCATGTTTTATTTTTCTTTCACACTTGCAGCCAAGTCAATGGCAGTTTTATCCTCATCTCTGTTTTATAAATTAAAACGCTTTTGGCAGTCATTGCCATAGATCAAACTGACCAAATTAAACATGAAGACATCTTTTGTCTTCCTCTTGGTTCTAACTCTAGCTCTTTCCTTTTCATCTGCATATTCTCAAGATTTTATAAGCTGCGTAGAATCCAAATCAACCAATGCGAGCTCCATTTCTCAGCTCATTTACACCCCTGGCAATGCTTCTTTCCTACCCATTTGGCAATTCGCAGTCCAAAACACAAGGTTCCTTAAACCCTCCACTCCTAGACCATCAATCATCGTGACACCTACGGATGAATCACTCATCCAAACATCTATTCACTGTGCCAAGAAACATGGGTACGAGATCAGGATCAGAAGTGGGGGGCATGACTTCGAGGGCCTCTCATACACTGCGGATGTTCCATTTGTTATGATCGATCTCAACAACATGAGATCTATAGACATAGACGTAGCTAACAGTACTGCATGGGTGGGGACAGGCGCTGTGCTTGGTGAACTTTACTACAGTATTGCACAGAAGTCCAACAACACCTTGTATTTCCCCGGGGTACATGGCCGACGGTGGGTATTAGCGGGTTGATAGGTGGTGGTGGCACCGGAAACCTATTAAGGAAATACGCTACAGCTGGTGATAATGTCTTGGATGCTCGTATCATAGATGTCAATGGAAACATTCTTGATAGGAAGTCGATGGGTGAAGATTTGTTTTGGGCGATTCGAGGAGGTGTTGCTTCCAGTTTCGGAGTCGTTGTTGCATGGAAGTTGCAGTTGGTTCCTGTTCCAGAAAAAAGTAACTGTCTTTATAGTGAATAGAACTCTCGAACAAGGTGTAACAGAACTTTTCTATAAATATCAGTCTCTTGCAACTTTTGAAGATAGAAATTTGTACATAAGATCCCAAGTGGCTTCGGAATTTATCGGCAACACCCCACCCAGAAAACCATACGAATTATCTTCCAAGGAATTTATCAGGGCACAACCAACACATTGCTTCCGGTGTTGGACAAAGTTTTTCCAGAGCTCGGTGTTACACGAGAGATTTGTCAGGAAATGACAAGTGTCCAGTCAACACTTGTGTTTTTTGGAAGGCCAAGCTCCACCCCGCTTGAGATTCTTACAAACCGATCTGCCATACCCAAGTCAAACAGCAAAACTAAATCAAACTTCGTCCGAGAACCGATCCCCATATCCGGATTGAGAGAAATCTGGAATAAGTTTTTTGAAAACGATTTGTCGGGTGGTTTGCTTATCATTCCTGCTGGAGGAAGAATGGATGACTACTCAGAGACAGCGACACCATATCCTCATAGAGCTGGAACCTTGTACTTGTTGGCTACTAGTGTAAATTTTGTAGGTCAAGCTAACGATACAACCCCTGTATCGCTTAGAAGATTAGCTTGGTTGCAAAGCTTAGAAGAGTTGTTGACTCCTTATGTGTCACAGAACCCGAGGGAGTCGTATGTCAATAACAATGATCTGGATATCGGTGTTGGGGCTGCGAATTATATGGAAGCAAGTGTTTGGGGCGAGAGGTACTGGAAGAGGGACAATTTCATGAGGTTGATTCGAATCAAGGCTAAAGTTGATCCCGATAATTTCTTTAAGTTCCCACAAAGTATCCCAGTCTTTAAGCGCCGAGGTCTCGCACAATAATGACAATAATAATAATAATTGAGAATAATAAGGTGTGTTGCCATTTTGTGAAGCTCTATATATCAAGTCTACTCTGATGTTGTTGTTTATCCTCATTTATTTTATAGCATTTTATATTGTGATTCATATTTTTTGTCTTGTGTTTCCTGTTTGTGTAAAGAATAATAATAATGGAGAATAAATTCATTTCTTTTAATTAATGTCCTAACTCCACTCTATGTAGCAGTGTAATTTTTTAAGTGATTTATAACCTTCAATTCATTTATTACTCTTACACTATTTCTACATAGATCGCTAGAGACTTCAAGGACCTTCTTTTTCAAGACCTGATTTTAATTAAGTTACACGACACCAAAAGCAACCTGATATAAAATTTTCTCTACATAATATCATGCAAGTTGACTTATTTATAGGTCGACGATGTCGGCCGTAAGGTAAACTTTCCTTCATACTTGTCCACTAAGTGCCTTTGTATTTCAAAAGTTCCAGGCCAGGGGTTGATTTTCCATAAACATATACCTCAAAAAATGACAGGGTATGTGAATATGTTTCATCCTTTACGAACAATTGGATTCTTTGTGACAACAATACACAACGGGGAAAGCATGTTTTCTCCTATAGAAATTTCTCCTCCGGAAAGCCGACCGTACATCAACGAAATATCAATAGTAAAAGGATCATAAATTAGCAACGGATGGATGGCAGTGGGAATTAAATCGTTAGAATTTACCGAAGAAAATGTAATTTTTTAGATTAATTATCCGTTGAAATAACATTGGTTATACAAATAATTGTGTACCCCAAGAGGCCAAGACTAGACACCATGACCTCTCAAATAACACACACTTGGACTATTTGTAGGTCTCATTCAATTATTTATTCCCTTCCTTAAATTGTATATTATATCATCCAATAATTAAATGAATGTTTCATGTATGTATGTTTGGTTTCCTCTCAAATAACACACACTTGGACTATTTGTAGGTCTCATTCAATTATTTATTCCCTTCCTTAAATTGTATATTATATCATCCAATAATTAAATGAGTGTTTCATGTATGTATGTTTGGTTTCTAACTTTTTTTTTTTCAAGTTAAACAAATATTATGGTATTATTTGCGGTTTTGGTTTCTGCTAGACTTAAAAGAACTACAATGCCCTTATATCATTGTTTTTCAATTAATTTAGTATTTTGTTTATTTCTAATTGTAGAAAACACAAACATAGCCCACCCATATATAACACATCTCTCACATCCTGCCACTCTCACATCCACTTTCTTCTCGATGATCAACCAATTCTATACAACAATTCGACCTAGAAAATCGAACCTACTGCAACTATTCAAACCCAATTTCTTAGACTAAACTAAGACACTAAATCATACTGTGATTCACATAATCCCTCGTCTCTTCACACTACTAAAAAATCTGATATTACCTACCGCAAAATTCATAGGTATTCCGTAGGTACATGGTGTTACCTACAAAATTGTGACGGAAAATGGGCCGTAGCATAATCGCTCGTGGGTAAATGTTAGCGACGGAATTGCGACGGATTACCTACGGAATACCGACGCCATTTTTCCGTAGATAATTTACCTACGGAAATGAATAGCTACGGATTTCCTACAGATTACCAACGGAGCCCACTTTGACTGACATTGACTTAATTACCTTCGGAATACCGACAGCCCAAATTACCGACGGATTTTCCGTAGGTATTCCGTCACTAAAATGATTTTTCTTTTTAAAAAAAAATCCAGTTATTTTTGCTGGTAATGCAGAAAAAACTGTCTTTAAAACTGATAATAATATTCATATTCAATGTATTTCATAGAAGTAGCTTAAATACAAACAAATACAATGCATTTCAATTGTCTTATCCTACTTTGTAGGATATATTCCTTGTACTTAATTTACTTCAAAAAAAAAATTACTCAACTTTACACAAAGATGGTAAAACAAATACAAAGTGTAGCCTCCTTGTAACAATGGCTGCAAAACATGTTCCTTAAGCAATGATTGGTAATAACTAAAGCAAAATGAGAGGGAATCAAATGTTACCTTATTCAACATAAAGAGTTGCTAGCCAGAAAGTGCAGAGGTGGGGGGTTCTAGCCAGAATGGTGATGGCAAGGTCTTCCGTTGTTCATTACCTAAATGAAACTCAAAGAAACATATAAGCATCTTAAGAATAACATTCAAAAACACCTGGAGGAACACACTTATCAAATTATTTAAAAATAATTAAAAAAAAATCATTTTATAGCATCTACAGAAGATGTTTAATCTAATACAGGTTCTACTTTCACATTTTTCCCATTATAGTGTACATATGGATCTGGATTCCAGGTCTCATTTACAATAATACATATGGACACCAACCTGCTTTCAAGCTTATCCATTCCATCAACTATGGTTGTCCTATCAGCATCTAGCATCAGAAGTAGTTTGTCCCATAAATAAGGAATGAATTTGCCTAAGAAAACATGAATTTGACTAGGTTAAAAGCAATATAATCAAAATTCAAAAACCTCCAAAACCCGGATCTACTCTACAGACAATCAAATTATCAAAGTTCCAAAAAATGTACTCCACAAAGATGAGTTGATCGTTAACAGCAACAAGATAAGCACAGTCTCTCTGTAAAACAACAAGATAAACACAATTCCAAAACATCCTTTGATTAAAATAAAGAAAAGTTGGAAAAAAAAATAATAACATGAGCCAATACCTGCAGATATGCAAGCCCCATACGACCCTGCTCCCATTTAATCCCTCCACTCATTTTACAAGCAGGAAGAGTAGCAAACTTCAGTTTGGAGCTTTCCTGTAGAAAATTTCATAATTACTTTAGGCACTTTGAGTAATGGGTGAGTCTATGTATGTGTGGGGATGTGTATGTATGAAAAAAAATAGAGTACATTAGCAGCAAGAGCAAAATCAGTTGAACGATAAATGACTTTATTTATTGATTCATCTGATCAAGATTACTTACAAAAGCTAAGTAAGCTCGTTGCATCTCCTTTCCAAGGATTCATTCTGCAATTACAAGTGTCAATGGTGCACATCTTTAATCCCTGGAATGCACAACATCTTTAATCCCTGGAATGTACATCTTTACCTTAGTCAACAAAAAGAGGTGCTAGGCTGAAAATCAAGAAGTAGGGAGTTCTCGTCGGAACAGTGGCTGTGTGGTATTTACCTGTAATATCAGAAATTAGAGACAGAAGCAGAGAGGCGGACTGATAAGGGTTTCCAGCGGGGTGGGGGGTGTTGGTGGAGCGGTGGCGGCAAGGTTCACCAGTGATGGATGTGGAATCGATCGATGATGTCGATAGCAGAGGATAGAGTAGGAGAACACGGTTGAGGGTCCGATTTCGACAAGGGAGATTGACAGTCGCGAGACCCTATTTTTTCTTTGCTGATGGGGGTTTCTAGCGAGGATAGCAGAGTTCGGTGGAGCAGTGCGGCGAGGTGGACCAATGGTGGATGTTGAATCACTGACGAAGACATCGGTGGCGACGAGAAAGAAGGAGAAGTCGGAGGAGCGACGTCAAATATAAGGAAGAGGAATGGAGATCGGCGGAGTTATAGTCGGAGTTGGGATGTATCGAAAAGGTGGGAGATGGGAGGCGGGATGCCTGAATCGTATGGGAGGGAAATTAATAAAACCTAGAAAAAATTTGGGGAAGGAAGCGGGTAAACCAAAAAAGTTAAAATCCATTATTTTTAGCTCCCGATTTTGACCGACATTTAGAAAACTTAAAACTTTGTTATTATTATTCTTAATATTATTAAAATTATTATATTTATAATTAATAATGATATTACATTTATTATTATTATTATTATTATTTGGGATTCATGCACGTCTTAAAACTTTGTTATTATTATATCCTTAATATTATTAAAAAATTTGGGGATTCATGCACATCTTTAATCCTTGGAATGCACAACTCCTTTCGCACCGTTAATCTTTTTCATATCTCAAATCTTAACTAAAATGACTTCAAGAAGGGTAAAGTTTCCAACTTTACCCCCAGGAACCACCAAAATGGGTTCAAAACCCAAACCCTAGGCTTAAAAGGGTAAAGGACATAATCATGAAGCACAAAATTACCAAAGGTAATACTCCAATATGCAGATCTTACCCCATAAGGCTAGAAGATCACGTAAAGTTTTCCAACTTTACACTCATTCACGACTAGAAGAAGCTCACATGCTCAAAAGAGGACAAAAGAATGACTAATGAATGCATGAATCCCTTAGGACCATAAAGTTGGCACCTTTATGCCAAAAGGGCTCATGAAGATCATAGATCTGAAAAGGATAAACACTTGGGACTTCTACTTCCCCAACAACCACCCATCTATGGCTAAAAGCATACAAACGAACCCAGGAAGAGATCTAAGCCAAAAATAAGCAAGGTTATAACTTTATACCCTAAATATGTTGGAAATGGTGCAAAGAATCCAGATCTGAAGGCTCCTACTTGAATCATGAGACAAGCTTTCCGTATTAATCATGCGACAAGCTTTCCGTATTAATCAATAGATTGATTTCAAGATTTACAATCAATGAGACATAACAATTTCAACTTCATATACATCAATAAAGCTTCAGCCCAAGTGGCACATAAAATATTCAATTTTTATTATCATTTTGCTAGAATATACGGGATTTCAGCCCTACATAGCCCTATGTCAATACCAAAGGTGATATGAGTCATGCTCTACATGGCCAAAGGCACAAAGTCGATGCCAGAAGTTATACGAGACATGCTCTACATGGCCAAAGACATAATACCAATACCAGAAGTGATACGAGACATGCTCTACATGGCCAAAGGCTCAAAGCCAATACCAGAAGTTATACGAGTCATGATCAACATGGCCAAAGGTATAAATCCATATTCAGAATAACACGGGAAAGCATATTGCACATATAACACATAACATATAATTGTTCCTATATATTGAACTCACCGAGAAATAACTGGAGGTTAAAATGGTAATTTGAGCAGCACTTCGTTCCTATAAATAACTTTCTTCAATGAAAACTGGGAGCTTTATTGAAAACTGGGCCTTGCGAGGGTTGAGCTTTAAACCGAAAATATAAATTTCTCGGGGTCTTCGGGCACTTCGGGACGTTCTTCGGGTGTTAGGTAGGTTCCCAGGGCTTCGGGGGGTTAAAAGTGGCTTAAAATAAAGTTTAGTGTGAAAAAGTATGGAAAATACCAACCAAAACCGGGAGGGTTCGCACCTCCCTTATATAGGGCTGCGAGGCTTCGGCTGAAGGAGGAAGAGAAGGGACACACGTCGTATGCGAGGGCGAGACACGCGTCAGCACCAAGGGCAAGGCAGGTGGCGGTTGCGCAGGCGAGGTGGCTCGCTTCGGAATTAAAAAAACGACGTTTGGTACCCTTATCTTTGAGATTTCGGGCACTAAACGTCATTTTTTCGATTCGTTTTTTTCAAACCTCTATTGTTGATGATTATCTATGTTTTCCCAAATTTATACTAAACTATTGAAAGCATTTTGTCAAAGTTGTAGTGTTTAGCAATCCTTCGACATCACTAACCAACTTGTTTATGTATGTCCAGGTATGTGTATGTGAATATGTATTTGAAGGTATATGTGTGTATGTATGTGTATGACTCTACACACGTAGATTTTACGTATAAGTTAGTGAATGTGTAAATAATCATGTATAGTAGAGGTGTGAAAAAAACGAAGCGAAAAAAACGACGTTCGGTTCCCAAAATCTCGAAAATAAAGAAAATTCGTAGGTAATCCGTCGGAAAATAGCGACGGATGGCCTTTTCCGTCGGAAATCCGTTGGTAATTACCGACGGATTACCGACGGAAACAGCCATCCGTCGCTATTTCGTCGCTATTTTCCGACGGATTACCTACGGATTTTCTTTATTTTCGAGATTTCGGGAACCGAACGTCGTTTTTTTCGCTTCGTTTTTTTCGCACCTCTACTATACATGATTATCTACACTTTCACCAACTTATACCTAATATCTACATGTGTAGAGCCATGTGCACCTTTCGATATGTTACACATTTCATGCTTTAACATTACCGCACTACTTTCACACACACACATATACACACACACATACACATAGATACACATACACATACACATATATACAACATATACACATAGACACACTTAGGAACACATACACACATACACATACACATCTATTCATACACATAAACACACTTAGAAACACATACACCCATACATACATACATACATACACACATATAGACACACATAGACACACATACATCCATACATACACACATACACATAAACATAAACACATTAAAACTCACATACATCCATACATACACACATACACATAGACACACTTAGACATACATATATGCGTACACACATACACATACAAACACATATATACATACAAATATATACATATACATACATACAAATACATATATGCACACATACACCCACATATAAACATACACTCATATATGTGTATGTCCATGCATTTAAGCAAAGTTCTTTGGGAGAACTTGAAACGTTTGTGGTATGTAGATCTATACATGTAATTTTTTCACGCTATAGTGCGCATCATTTTGTGACTTTTGCATATAATTGGACTTGCATTGATGACATCTCTTAGACATATGCAAATGATGAAAAAGTATGTACCAATTAGGTCAACCCAAACTAATAATAATAATAATAATAATAATAATAATAATAATAATAATAACAACAACAACAACAATAATAATATTAATGGAAATAATAATAATAATAATGGAATTAATAATAATAATAATAATAATAACAACAACAATAATATTAATGGAAATAATAATAATAATAACAATAATGGAATTAATAATAATAATAATATAAATAATAATAATAATAATAATAATAATAATAAAAGAAACGAAAAACATTACTGTATAAGAATAATTAAGTAGTATTTATAATTGGATGTTGCATATCCGGCCGGTTGGTAATGTACTTGGCATGATGCACAATAGGCCTGAGTTCGAATCCCACCCGCATTGTTTTTTTATTTTTTCTTGTTCGTAGGTATTCCGTAGGTAAAGTTAATGGGTGCATGTAAGGGTGGTTCCGTAGGTATTCCGTAGCTATTCCGTCATAATTTCGTTTTACTAAACTAGGGCATCTTTTTCCGTAGGTATTCCGTCACTATTCCGTCGGTAATTACCTACGGAAAATTTTCGTAGGTATTTCTCATTTTTCTAGTAGTGTCATTCAATAACGGTATTTACCCCCTAGACCTAATCGACAAAATAGCCGCTCACCTCTTACTCCCTTGCTTATTCTATCTAGAATTTTGACTCATTTTCCCAATCACTTTCTATAATTCCGCTGCAGCTTTGGTTGATTAAATGAAGTTGAACCTACTGATTGAACATTCAAATCTGGTTTTAAAAAATTCAATGGTATGAGGTGGGATGGATAACAACATATATAACTTCGATTCACATGTCGCTAGAGAAAAAAGGGAGATTATCAGAGGTAGGGAAGTGTAACAATTATTTAGGAAAATGAGGATGCCAAGGTGTAACGCCCGTAGATCCGGGCTAGTCAATCTGGAGATAATAGGGGTCGAAAACGACTTTTCGACAAAAGATTATTTAGAATAAATAATCTTAACCAAGTTGTAGAATATGTCTCAAGGGTTCTGTACATATAAAGAACGCCGAAATCCGAGTTATAACGAAGAAGTTATGACCCGTCGAAGTTTCGCGACGGAACCGGCACGATACCGGGAAGCGTAAATAGTGAATTTACAATAGAGAAGTTTTAGCCTTAGCGATCTAAACGAAAGTCGTAGAATATGTTAAACCGAGAGCGTCCATAAAAAGAACGCCCAAATCTGACTTCGTATGAGGAAGTTATGATTTTTCGAAGTTTCGGCTTAGTAGTGTACAGCCCGAAGTTCGAATATTAGATCGAGCGGCTTTTAGCCGGCACAACCTAAATGAGAATCGAAGATCTCGTTAATAGTAGCGTACTGATAAACAGACAGACGAAAACGGACGTCGGATGAAGAAGTTATGAATTTTTAACGGACCAATCCTGTCTCGGCCTGTTAAAAATAAAAAAATTAAAATAAAGTCAAAAATTACCCGACGGAGTCTAAACGAAAGTTGTAGAGTACGGTCCCGCCTACGCGTGGATATAAAGAACGTCGAAAATGGAGCTCGTATGTGAAAGTTACGAATTTTTAAAGTCGAGTGTGCAATTTGCGAAATCTGATGCAAGATACGATGACGTGGCCAAATCTCAGACGTCGCTTGCTGAGCACGGTCTCTCTTCAGATAGGTGACACCTGGCATCGCTACGCAGCGCGTAGAAGGAACGCCCCGCGTTCGGATTCGCTTGGTCTCGGAAGCCCCACGTCGCACCACCGAGGCTTCGCCATCTGTCCACCTTATCCAAAGCTACGCCCCACGTAGCTTGACTGAACGCCATGCGT